GGGGGGGGGGAGGAAGAGAGAGAGAGAAATGTGAAGGAATTTGAGGTACAAGGGATTACCGCCGCTGCTGTTCTTGTATCGTGAGGTCGGGGAAGATGAACAATGTTTTTCTCTCAGTTGTCCGAATAGTTATTACAAGGGTAATACAGGGGGGTCTTTGTCACAGACCCCATAGTATAGGGAGGTCTTTGTAATTTACCCAAAAAAAAGCATTTCACGCCCACAGGGTACTTTGGTAAAAATGACATTTTTTGTCAGCCGAGTTAACCAATTAGGGAGGTCTTTATCTCATTGCCCAAAGTTCGGGGGGTCTTTGTTACTGATCACGAAATATATGGGGGTTTTTTTTTAACGTACCTATTTTTTTCTTAGAGATGTGCCCATATTGGGGTCGTCGACCCAGTCCGGATTTTCCACCGACTTGTCTCTGCATAACTATTTCATTTAAGCCCAAATTCTTCTTCCCCATTAAATACTCTTCACGTAACGGCGAATCTGGTTCTGAACATCGTGGACATTGTGCTTGTGTACCTCTCTGCCTTCGACTAATTTACTTAATGCATCTGCCAATTCGTTATCCATTACCCCGGCTTCTGCAACAACAATTCCACTTAACGCCAGGATTCTGGCATCGGCCGGAGTGCGAATAAGCTCCGACATGAACTTGAGGTATGCCAGCACTTCACTGTAGCGTCTGTCTCCATAGAGCTTCTCTTCTTCGTAAGCGATCAAAGTCCTGAATAAACTTGCTGTGTCATGATCCCATGAGAAAGATGGGAGATAGAGACAGACGTAGTATTTCATCCAGGCCGAGAATCTTACTCCTCTTATTCCCTTTCCTTTTCCTTTGTTAGATCTGAATGTAATTTCCTTTTTCATGAGGTCCGTCGCGCTCGCCATCGTCCACTATTCTTCATTATCTTCAATTCTTGATCATTGAAGAAATCTGAAAGGGGATTTTTGAATATTAACGATGAAGCACACAGAACAAAAAAGAGGATTTAATGGGGAAATGAAATAATTATTTTTTTAAGAAAAGGTTAATTAATGTTTGAAGAATTGATATGTTTTAAAAAGAATATTTAACGGAGGGGTTAAACTCCTCTAACATGATTAAGGACAGCTTAGAGAAGGGAGTAGAGGGAAGTTAGTAGGAAATCCGGACTGGTCGGTCGTCAACGTTCAGCTAAGGGTAAGGGGTACGTAGCGGGAGGAAAGACGATCCTACTCTACTCTAGGTAGGTAACCAACAGATGCCGAGTGAGTCGGACTAATTTCTATACTGTTTCAGACTTTGTGTCCAAGTAGAAAACCCATAGCTTGCCAAAAACCGTAATCTTCACCAAAATTACAAAGTCTGTTTCTTTAAAAGCATATAGCTCCATCGATCCTAGAATTAATTCTATTGAGTTTTCGAGATGTGATATATATGATCCCAACTGTTCAGAGTTCAGCGTGAGAGTTGCTATGTCAGAAATAACGATGCCTCTGCTTCAGCAAGTTCGTTTTCTAGAATTAAGCGCCATGAAATCTGCAGAAATCTTGAAACCACCATTACAATGCAATGATATCAGAGTGCTAATCAAACTGAGCGTCGATGAGAAGCGTCAATGGATTGGAAGATCCAGTGAAGAAGAAGATGAAGCAATCATTGTAGAAGTTGAAGAAGAGAATCGTACAGTATCAATCCCATTCTGGTTGTCACTCTTGTTTCTCCCGTGGGCGACCGAAGCTGTTATCGGTCAAAGCCTCTCTTCCATGAACTACTTCTTCCGAGATACTAGTAAGTTTATAAAACGAGTGTTGTCCGATTACGCTCGCGAGATAGCCGAGCATTCGTTTTCGTTGGTCACGAAGCCCAAGACCATTGTAATCGTTGCAAGGATTGAGGTTCAGACGACGCATCATGGATACGATGAAGACGAGCAGGTTGCTGAGGCAGTGAGCTGGGAGAGCACAGAAGCCAGCAGTGAGCATATCAGCGTCGTTCCTGCATCTTTGGCTTCGATAGACGCCCTGCCAACACACAGATTCGGCAATGGAGAATCTAATATTTGCTGTGGGGTTTGCCTGGAGGTGTTTTCGTTGAATGAACAAGTTAAAGAGATGCCCTGCTCACATGTTTTCCACAGAGAATGTATAGTTCGGTGGTTGTTACAGAGGAATGTATGCCCTTTGTGTCGCCATGAGATGCCAACTGATTAAGACACCTACGTTAGAGAGAAGAGAATGCATGGTTCAATTGTTGCAGATCGAGTTTCTTCTTTCCTTCTTTCTTTCTTTCTTTCTTTTTCATAGATCTTTGTTGGTTTTTTTTTTTTTATAAACCTCTTTCAACATCTATCCTTGAACGATATTGCTTTCCTTAATTTGAACAAAACAAGTTGTTGGTTTCCATATATAAAATAGATTTTTCATATCATTTCATATTTTTTTTCATTACAGTAATTGATGTTGTTCGATTCGAGGTGTCCCAAACCGAGGTCGTAGTCAGAAAATCCTATCAATTGGACGAGGCCGAGGTGGAAGGACGAAGCCGCACGGAAAGAACTAAAACAGGAAAATAGTCAGAGGCCTGAGGAGTTATTCCCCGGGTATGTACTCCAACACTAAGTCAATAAGGAAAGATGGGTGATTGGGCCGAGCAGTTGAGATCAATATCGGTATGAGCAGAATGATAGTATGGGTGATGGAGAGTCAAAAGTCCTTTACCTTGAGCAGGAGTTACCTTTTTATAGCCGAAGATCCGTGTCCTGTTTGGATGATGCTTCCGGGGTTGTCGGGATGAGGTTGTCCGTCGAGGTCTTCGGTATAAGACTTAATCCCCGACAGAACTATCCTCCTTATCCGTACAACGTTCTCCTATCTTGATCGTGCTTATCTATCTGACGTACTGCCGAAATGGCTGAAGAGATAAGATGGCCGCGGAGGTGACACGTGGCACCCAATGCCAGCTCAACCATAACCCAAACAATCACCTTTTTTTTCTTTTCTTTTCTTTTGAAGGGCTTACCTTGAAGGGCCCACCTAGCCGTACACTATGACTCTTTAGATCCATAGGACCCAAAGGTTGATTGCTCTTGTGCAAGTGATTGTATTTCCACAAAAGGCTATGAGAATATTCTTATAATTAAGATCATTTATGAATAACAAAAATGGCTTCTGTTCAATTGCTTGTATTGCCAAAGATCATTTTGGCAATGTTTTGTGATGAGGGGTAATCTGGTCCTCCGAGTAACATCACGACACGTGGCATTCAACAACCTATAACCAGATGGAAGGGCAAGTAAAAGCAATAGGGCACATTGGGGACTTTCTTCATGCTACACAACCCGGCAAAGATATTTATATCTAGGGGAAAATCTAAATGGTGACTCAGGGAAATCAGTCCTATAAGAGTTTGGACAGCACTAGGATAGAGCTGCCCTAAGGAAACACCAAAAAAATGAAAGCACCTCAAGGATGAAAGGGTGCAAAGGAAAACGGAGGCTAGTGATCAACGCCTCCTCAAAAACATAGACTTCATCTTGGTCGTGACTCCATGGAAATTGGTCAAGGTCGGGTTGAATACAGTTGAACTCTTTGTGGATTTGGAACACTAAAATTAGCTCTACTATACGTTCTCCAAATCTCCGCTTAGCTCACTAGGGCCAAATGGGGTAATCTATACCTCCTGCTGAGACGTCGAGGCCTTGACCTAAGAGCCCCGCCAATCTAGCAATGAGGTTCCCTCTTCTACCCAAGGAAAGCTTAATAATCTTCCGTTTAAACTACTTGAAGACATATTTGTAGAATAAATGGACGCACTAGTTGTGGGAGAACAAAAACTGGTGGCAAGCAAGCTTCAACCAGTGACCTAACAATAGTATCCCAACGGAACTCTCCTCCAACCGATCACCCACTCCCTCGGAAAAAACCTCAAAACAATGCGAGTGGGACCTTGGTGGGGATCCCCTTATTTATAGTCTGTTGGCGAGGAAGATCGACGGCTAAGGCACATTATTGGCAAATCAACGGTTGAAAAGACAACACCGTGTGTGGGCTAATTCGAATTTTGAATTATGCATGCCCAATTTGCACACCCCCTTAAATTTCAAAATTCAAAACCTGCCACAGCCCTGCCCATCTTTGAACCGGGTCAAGTGAGTAAGTCGAGCGACTTAGAGACTAGCCGGACAAATTACCAAACTGAGAAAGGCGACTATGAGCTACTCCCTTTGCCGAGCTAACGACGACTCGGGAGTGGAGGGCAATTGGTGAGGGATAATTTGGTCATCCGAATAATATCACGACACGTGGCATCTGGATGACACCTCGACTCTAAGTAAACAAATCACCTTGGCAGAACGACTAGCAGCACCTCGTCTAGGGCCGACCTACGGGACCCCGGTGCTTAGAGCGATCTCTACCGAGTGCCAACTGAGCTAACATGGGTACTTGTAGAGACCTGCAAGATGTGCTTGCCAACCTACTCTTAGAGCCCATTACCCAGACCGGATTCTTCAGTAGTAATAATGCTCGACTGTTAAGCTTGTTTGCCTGCATCGTCCACACTAGTGTTGATCGAACGGATCTTAGCCCTCAATGTGATTCATGTAATCGACAGAGAAATTATCTCCGAACATAGTGGGAGCAGCTCTTCGGGAATCTCAGACTCGTTACGAGGAGCCTCTAGCCCCACACACATATATAAAGGCATCATTCTCTTGAGAGAAGGTACGCACGACTAAGCTCTCACACACTTTCATCTTCTGAGTACTCTAATTCTCTAAGAAACTATTCATTGACTTAAGCATCGAGTGCCCACCCCGGGTAAAAGCAACCCGGGCATTTTGATATTGTTTTCTCATAGGTATTTCCAGAGAGTTGCATAGCTCGTCCATATTCATCTCGACACCCAAGCTATCTCCTAGCTCAGCCCAACTTTAGCATGGCCCCTGAATCCCTTTCCAACAGGAAATTCTCTAACTCAACATCGAAGTGACTTGCCAAGTGGGAGCTATCAGATCGTGCATCATCATTTTGGTTGCAAAGGCTTATCCTAATGGAATTGCCACCATTAACCTGGCTGAAGCTTGGGTTGCTTGGGAAGCACACAATGTTGCATGGAATTTCAAAGACCAGCCTATATTCATTAAAGAAAGACTCTCTTGTTGTCATTTTGTGCCTCAAGAAGAATATTGAGATACCACGGAGGCTAAAATTCATAATTGAAGAATGCCTTAAGTTGTTTGGGATGCTGGATTGTGGAGTGGTCTATGGTCATGCTTATCATGAAGCGAATAAGGCCCAGATTGAATGGTGCACAAAGCCCTTGACTCAAATGGCCCACTTATAATAAATGCCCCTACTCTCCTTAGTTTCTTAGAATTCTTTTGTTGATGTGATTTGTAGGGCCAAACTACCCTTAGGTTTGTGTAACTCTTGATATTACCAAAAGAGAAAAGAAAAAAAAGCTATAATATACTGTGAATTGGCCCAACTTGCCATGGGTTGGGTCCAACCTTTAATCTGACTAAGGCTGATCCAACCCTTACCTGATTTGGTCGGGTCAACGTGGATTTACCACTTAATCTGACTAAATGACATCCATAGTGTTGTTAGACTTTGGACCAGAGTCAGACCATCAATACCTGTATTAGGCTGTGTTTGGCATTGAGATATTTATATATATTATAACATTTGATACTTATCTTCTAAGTTTATTTTTGTATAGAAGATCTTTAAAATATAATATGAATCTATTTGCTATTTTTCTTAATTTTTTTTTCAAATTTCTATTTGAACGAATCGAATGGTTGAATGAGAGAATTATATTGAACCAATAAACCTATAACCAAGTGACTAAAACAGTATTATGTCTGGTTTGGATTTGATAATATTGCCTACCTTTTGATAATGGATAAATGGTTGAAGTGGCTAACTTGCTATTTTGTCTGGATAAAAGTATGAAAGTGCAAATGATTTGAGTCTAAATGTATAAAAGTTTTGTTTTAGTTTTTGTCTTGATTTTTCTTTATTTTCTTTGTAGATAAAATAAAATAAAGCCCAAACAAAAATTAAATCAGAATTACATTATTAATAGTATTGAGCTAGTGCAAATGAAATGAGGCTGCATACCTGTGACTATGATCATGGAGCAATTCAGCATTTCAGCCATCTAGTGAAAAATGAACACACCACTATTTATAAAAATTCGAACACACATAAATTGTTTTTTCATTTCAAGAAGTGGTATATTGACAGTTCAGTACTATTGATGAGGTGTAGCAGAGGTTAGGCGAGAAGAAGAAGAATGTGAGGCTCGGTGGTGGAGTGTCGAAGAGGAAGACGAGTACGTGAATTGATGGAGCGAACAGAGGTTAGGAAGTCGAGGGGTATACTTGGAATTTTAACAAACACAGAGCTAACGTGTGAGTGTAGGTGGAGCAGTCGGAAAAAACCCCTAACAAAGGCCGTACATTGCACGGGTCCCAACTTGATAATTATTGAAAGTGATGCAGAAAAGATCAATAGCCCAGTTCACATATGCCCCTCATAGAATGCGCCCATAAATGTCCCAGAACACATCCCAACCGTGTGTTGAGAACATCTCTCAATGACAAATACGAGAGATGTTTAGAGATATTAATGTGATATGTTTTTGGAGCGGATGTAAAAATACACCGATGACGTTTTACAATAAACCAAAAAGTGACTGTTGCTTTTTTGAAAATATTGATAGGTGAAAGAGTATAAAGTTTTATATAAAATCGATGTAGTTTTTACATTGATTGTCGATGTAAAACTTTAGAAATTATGAGATTTGACATCAATTATTGAAGTAAAACTCCACTCCATCCAAACACATGCAAAACTGAATTGGAGTGGAGTTTTACGTCAGTAATAATTACACCCTCTTTCCAAACGCCTACAAAACCGAACCGATATAAATCTTATATCTGTTCTTAATTTACATCACATTGAAATGCAACCTAAAGCGGAACATCTTGTGTTGATCGAAATCGGATCTGGTCCTTACACATGGCACCCACACTGACCTTACGGGCACATCCCACCAACCATGCATTGAGAACATCTCTCGTACTTATGTGTTATTATTTACAAGAGATGTTCCTGTGATGTGAGGTTGTTATGAGGCATCCTGTGTGAGGAGCAGATCCCAATTCGTTTACCATATACATGGTCAGTGACTCAGTGGTACCAGATTTTCAGATTTTGTGCATAAGAAAATAAGGAAAACCCAGGGAA